TTCATCAAGATACATGTACATAATTTTCTGCATCCAAATTTTTGTTGACTCTCTGTTGGTGTTTTTTTCAATATCGAGCCTCTTATAATTTGTTACAGAGTTGAAATAGTTCTTGAGCATTTGTGTCTACACTTAGTCCATCTGAAGTGTCACTTTAAAAACTGTAGTTTGAATGTCAATAAAGTTAATTTTCAGGTTGCTGTTGACAAACTTATTGTTCATTTTTAATTATTTTTTTTCAATACAACACAGTAAGTTTTCTTTATTATTGAGTTGATGTATATGCCTTTGGCAAAGCTAACATCTGCCTTACCCTATTGCCTTTTCAAAATCAAAGGTGATGATACCTGTGACAGTAATACAGTAGTACGAAATGTGTACATCAGCATGTGCCTCCTACAAATAAAGACTTGTTGTTTTTTTGATACACTGTGGTTAAATTCGTAATAATAACTCCGTAGTCCTGTGGTTTTAGCAGCATTTTTTTTTGGCCGAATTTTTTTTTCGCCCTCTCGCATTAGTTTTGGGGTCTTCAGAGGATGTCATCCATAAAATTAAATCAGTGTGGCCTTAATTAAAAATAAAAAAATATCCTGAAAATTACATCAAATTCCGCAACGAAATTTTGTTTTTAAACATCGCAGAAACATCATGCACTCTTCGCCACCCAGCATGTATCGGTCGCAAAGTTCGTTGGTGTGATCATTGATCACCAGTACTAAGGCAATCTATGAGGTATAACGTGCATGTATTTCAAAAGATCAAGGTTTGTCTCATTTTTATCCGATGAATAAAACCTGTCTCGGTTTACAGTAGTTTTCCTTCCAGCTCGAAATAATGACCAGATTTTAAATCCTGATTGTCGAGTAGTTGTTATCAAATTTAACATTTGAAACCTTCTAATATGCCCAAAACCATCCTTGGAAACTGTTCCATTAGAAATTACCTCCGTAATTATATTTTTTAATATTAAAATAAATCATGCAGGATCTTTGAAATATACCTTATTTTATCTTGAATGTAGATTACTAGTACCAACAAAGGCATTATAACAAATATATTGGCTAAATTTTGATTAGCGAAATTACACGCGTTACTTATAATTTCTTGACAATTTCCTTTGCTACATTTCAATTTCTGGCAAATATGGACTCAAATATAAGTTCTGATATCAAATATGAAATGATGAAGGAATGTCACATCAATGAAGCTGCACACATACTGACGGCTGCATTTCTTCACAGTGAACCAATTAATCAAGTCGTGCCCCGGCCGTACGAAGCTGAATTATCATCAAATATCAGTCGATGCACAGGAGGGTGTGTCTATGGTTGCTATTGATAATGCCACTGGAAAGATAGTTGGTGCGATCACTGGCATACTTTGCCATGGCAATACAATTGAGGAAGATAAAGGAGATCATCCTATGTTAACACCGGAAATTGCGCCATATTGTTCACCAACCGTATTTCCGTATCTGAGAGAATTGGATAAGTTTTTCTACAAATATCCATCTTTCAACAGAAACCGTGATTGCATGGTATTGCATATTGACAAGATATGCGTACATAAGGACTACGGAGGCCTGGGGATTGGCACGAAGTTGGCACGCATAGGTGGTGAATTGGCTAGAGAAAATGGCGTCAAGTATATTGTGATACAGGCTACTGG